TTCCTTGTTAGGGTATGCGGGCTTATTATGGCGCACACTGGGTACTTATAAAATATTGACTAATAAATGCTGCAAATAGCCCTGGGCAATGGTTAGGTAGCCTGTTTGCTATGGAAATAACTTGGCTTCAGGGCCCAGTGACGCGGCCTCCCGCGATGCCTCTCCATGTGGTTTGCAAACAGGCTCCAAATTGTGCTAAACCCTTCCCATGGTTTAATTGACACCTTCAGCAGCCACTGCCCCTCGCAGCGTCCCCACACGCCAGCTTGCTCTCCTTCATTATTCATAAAATCCTCAGTGTTTAAAGTGTAAATTAGCCTGCTTTTTCTAACCGGGGAGCCGAGAAGCCGTGATGTTCATTTGCTTGAGTAATGCCTGAAGGAATGRGAAAACAAACAAGATTTGCAAAAATCTTTGAGGTTTAAATACATAGTCACCACAACTCTGCAGCGTGCCTGGGAAGTCCAGAACATGACTCCAGTGTGCATTTTTCCCCAAGAAGAGTCACGAGCGGAGGGCTACCGCGGGCTGTGCATGGATGCGTCTGTTGGGATAAAGCAGTCGGAATGCAGCGGTTTGCAGTGGGATTTTCCTGTCTGGAAACACATCTCTGCACCCCGCCACACCTGGCCTGTTCCTGCACAGCTAGTTTGATGGCTGTTGTAGCTTCGCTGCATCCAACAGCATTTATTGATCTGGGGGGAAGACCACATGAAGCAAAAGCCGGGACATTGGGTGTAAGGTTACAGGCAACACTCAGGGACTGGGGATTTTTTGGGTTAGAAACTTGGAGTTGGGCAAGATAGAAACTGCAGAGTTTCTATCTATCTAGTTTCTGTTCTTCCACTTTTCCTGGAAACCGCAAAGTGTCTTTTTTGGGTTGAGTTTTCCACCCAAAACCATCATCCAGGTAGAACCTGTGGTTAGACTGTCAGATACCAGAACTTGCCAAACACATGGCACGGAATAAGGACTCCATCGTGCACTAGCATATATGTGAACTTTATTGCTATATCTTTTTTCCCTTTTGCCGAAATCTCTTTCCAGGTTTTGCACATGGGGCAGTATTTCTATTACCAGTTTTATTTCGTGTGCAAAGGTGCTGCCCAATTCCTGGCAGCCGTGCGGCGCTCCCCAGTTTGCCGCATGGGAACACCGGTGGGTCCGTGTTGCCTCTTGAAACCTAAATCCCCCTCAGGCCTCGCTCTTGCCAGYGACTCTGGGGACATGAGATGAGCAGCAAAGCATTGCAGGAATAGCCTGAAGACTCTCTATCCTGCTGCTGCCTGGAGTATGTACATTTCTGATATTTCCTTGCCACCCAGTAAGAGGAATAATGTGTTTTCTCTTGTGTTTTCTCTTCTTTTTTTTTTCCTTTTATTTTTAACAGTCCCAGACATTTTGTATGCTTTTTTTTTTCTCTTTTCTCTCTTTTTTTGCACTCTTTCACACTCTCTCCTCTCTTTTCTCTTTTTGTAATGATAGCTTTTCTGTTGTTTTCTGTTTAGCATCTGGTCTAAGGACGTTCAGGATCGCAGTCAGAATTTACTGCTGCAAAAAGATTTTCATTCTCTGCTGCCTTCAAATTTATTGCTGTTTAATCCATGCTGTACYATAGACACCTTCAAACTGGGCAAAATCAGCTTGGGATCGAGRTTTAACTGTGAAAACTCTGCTGAATATCAAAGCAAGGGGCTGACATTTCAAGTGATCCATCTAACGCCTCGCTGTAAGGAAGTAATCCCCATTTTCCAACTGCCTTATAAGCAACAGCACTCGGGAGAAAGCTCTATAGGTTTGTGCCTTGGGCCTTTCCCTCCTAAGTGTATATTCGCTCCAAGAGAAACCTGTACATATTGCATCTTCTGTCTCGTGTTGGCCACGCAGAGCAGGCAGGGGAAGGTGGGAGATGTTCAAGAAGGTCCCCAGGTGCCTGCAGTTCTTCAGGACCGTTAAAAGCACTGCCAAAGGGCGTTTCATTCGGTACGTGACCCACATCATCTCCTGCTCTTGGTTCTGGGCAGCGTTTGTAGAGTGGAATGGGARTCCTTTCCATTCCATTTCCTGGAAACTCTCCTGCTCTGACTATAGRAAGGATACCTGAAGGTGCTTCTTTCAGAAGGATGTCAAGGCTGGTTTTCCCAGGTGAAGTTCTGTAGGCTGGACGAGTTAAAACAGGTGCTCCAGGGCTGGATACATCACTTCTGCCTAACACAAAACGCCTGACGTTTTACTTAGAAGTTACAGATTTCATTAATAGGCCAAAATGAGAAATGTTGTGTGCGAGAATGTTATTTTTGCTTATATTTAGCCTCTCTATATGTTCTGCAGCTGAAAGAGCTGCTAATGAAATGTAGCAGCTTCAGATTAACCTCAGGGTGGGTTTTAGTTGTAACTCTGCCTCGGCTTGGGATGTTTCTGCTTTGGCCCTGTGTTTCTGCTTTGGCCCTGTGTTTTGGGAACATGGTGCCTTTTGGGGTATGGTGTTGAGCCTGGGTCTGTCCCGCACCCCTGGGTGGTGGAGACATGGAGCTTGGACATCTCCTGACCTTCAGCCTTTGCAGCCTGCCCCTGGCTCTGTGCTTGGCCTTCCTGCTTGCCTCAAGGAGGAGAAACAGGATGCTGGTTGCTCCCTTTTAAACAGTCCTGCCTTTCCTTTTTTGCTCAATAACTCTGATTTTAGGAAACTGATGCCAGTGCCTTTCACCAGCGCTGAAGACCTGRACTAAAATAATACAAAACGAGGCCTAAACCATTCAGTGAGTGACTCGYGGCTGCACTCGTGGTCTGCGGGGCGCAGGACGCGGAGGCGCCCGGGCACCGGCCGTGCCCAGCAYGGACCTGCTCCAGGTGCCACATGGAAAACAATTGTCTCCCTGTCGCCTTGATCCTCGAGAGGGCTTTTCTGCTCCTGGATGTCTCTCAGAGGACTAACGTCAGGGAAAAYGGCCACAAAAGTATTTGTGGAGGCGCCGCTTTGGCAACGCTGTTTTCCTTGTCCTGTTTTGTAGCTGCGGGTTGAAGAATTCCCGCCCAGCTCCCAAAAACCTTCAGTGGCTGTATGCCCTAACAGGAAATGAATATCTCACCTGAAAATACCCATCTTGCTCTTTATTTTTAACATATATTCGCTTATTCTCTGTTTTTTGTATTTTTTTTTTTTTTTTATCAACCATCTTCTTGACTTTCGTTGCTTGAGGCTCTCCTTCAGCTAGCGTAGTCTAGACTAATCCTTGGAGAATTGAACGTCTTTCCATGTGGCACTTCATTCATCATTAGACTTCCGTGCAGGTGGCTGAGCAGCCAAATTTTGGCTCCGTATRAGGTGAAATTCTTTTAAAAATGACATGACACACACGTCTGCTGGGAATGACCTTCACCTGCCTCCTCTCCAYGGCCTCCAGCATCGTGCTCAGAAACTCTTGGTTCCCAGCACGGCTCTGCGTGAGCTGTGCTGCTTTGTCTGCAGTTCTGGAGCCCTATGGAAGTGTGCACATTTCCCTTGCTTGCGACACTTCACTTGGGTGTCTAATCAGCAAGTGAAATGGGGGAAAAGGACAGCCTCCTCCAGAGGTTGGTGCTGGGACATAACTAGSATTTGTTAGATTGGCTGCTGGAGTTGGGAGCAGGGAGATGCGATGGACAAGGGGAATCCAAGCTTGTATTTTCATCCTTTAAGGAACATACCATAAACTTGCTCTCCTGACATTGCTTTATAATTTGCAGAAGGCAAAGAGAAGGAGCAACTTGTTGCCAATATTCAGATGTTTCCAAGCAAGTGCATCTCAGCTGTGGGCAATGACCACAAACCCTGTTTCCCTCTGCATGTATAAAATAGGCTTTTACTTCTACGCTTTAGCCATATGGGAGACTTAATCGGATTAGCAATAAGTGGCTAAAATCCATGTACAAATGCTTGACCTTCCAAAATGCTTATAGGAGACGATAGACAACAAGGGGAAAGACTTCAGTTGGAGCATTTCTCCTCTATACAGCAAAAAGTTACAGAAATGATCAGGATGAGTGTTGCCGTGGTGTAGTTGACTGATCCCTATGGCGTTGTTGCATACGTTGGGTGTCTCCGTACGCTGTGCAGCTGCAGAGTTGGACACCGGTTTCCCCTTCCCGCTGCTGTCATGGCGCCTGATGCTGGGATGCTCTGATGGCCTTAAGTCTCACGTGTTTGACTGTTGTAGAAACCAGGGGCCTCTTCTCACTCTATGATTGTTTTCTCTTCCAACTTAATTTCCCAGGGAGAAGTAAATGCTCTCTGTCTGCTGTGAGCGGGCCCTAAGGACCTCTATGTCCATACAGAGTCACTGAGCTCACAAAGCAAAGGGGGGGGAAATTCTCCTTGTGTTTAATAAATCAGCTGGGCCTCTTCAGGCAGGAGGCCGTATGAGGAATGCTTGTAGGTGACCTCCATGTTGTGCAGCTGGTGGGATGCACAGGGTTGTCTTTATAGTTGCTGATGAGCTTAAGGGTGGTCTTAGCTTAACTCTCCCAGTGGAAAGCCAGCTGGATGGAGCTAATTGTCAGAAAAATGGGGTCTTTCTATGAAGTGTTTATTAATACTGTCTCTTTCCTTCCTGGAGAGATTTATGCAGCCATCTCTTTTTCTCCTTGCCTTGATGTGTCACCTTACATGGAAAACCTATTTCAGTTTTGGCTCTAGGTCCAGCACTTGCCTTTCTTGAAGGCACCATTGGGTGTTGTTTACTCAGTGGAGGAAAAGTCATGATGTAAATAGGAATTAGATATGATGGGTGTAATCTTCCATGTCAAAATTGTTGTGTAATATAAGTGCTTTCCTCCTCTCATGCTGTTGGAAGTAGCTGTGGYGTCAAAGGTAGTTCTCTTGTTCAGCCTTTGTGGAAGTGATTTGCATATAAAATGCCAGAAACCCTGGTTTGACAGGCTTTTTTATATATTAAACTGCTTGTCACATCACATAGTGTGTGTTTTTATGTGACCATTTCTGCTTTGCGTTGGCTCTGCAGGCACGATCCTGGTTGACAACATGCTCATCAAAGGGACGGCGGGAGGCCCTGACCCCACCATCGAACTCTCCTTGAAGGACAACACGGATTACTGGGTGATCCTCGATCCCATCAGCCAAAGGCTCTACCTGAACAGCACTGGCCGAGTCCTGGACAGAGATGTAAGTTTGGGGGTTTCCTCCTCCCTAGGTTTCATTTCCTGAGCCAGTGTACGTCCTCAGAGAAGTCACAAACACAGGGATCGCTGGAAGGGATCATAGGGATCTTTSATCCCAAGATGACTGGACAAAGTGGATTTGATCCTTCTCCCAGCCTTCCTGGGAACATGCAATAAGCAGCATAGAGGAGTGCACCATGCAGGCTGGGAGACCTCCCTGGAGTGCCGGGGAGTTGGTATTAGCTTGAAATGGGTGAGTTGGGCTTCTCAGCTGCTCAGAGTGGTTTGAGGTGCTGTTATTGGCAGCAACAGGCACAAACTGCCTCACTTCCATTTGTCCGTGCAGAAGAGCTGCTAATTGAATCCAGCTGTTGGTAATTTRGCTTGTGTTTGCAAAGTGTTTTCATGCGTGGAGCAAGGCTGCCCCACAGAGCRTACCTGGTGCTAAGGGATATGTTGGTGCAGCAGCTAACAGGGAACTCTGCCCCAAGGACAGGGTCCCCAGCCACCACGGAGAAGRTGGACACATGCTGGAGCTGGATGATAGTGGCCTCTCTGTTTGATTTATTTTATTTGGTTGCTTTTCAAGTTGGAGCAGAAAGAAAGAGGCTAAAATGAGAGCTGAGGTAAATGACCTCTGTACCTTCCTGGAGCAACCTTGTCAAATGATCTGTTTTCCAAAATTAGTAACTAATTAAGCAGTCAAATATTTTACTTTATTATGAGTGCAAATGGCTGCTTTATAGGGCTCTTTGTGAGAAAGTAGGCTCAAGTCTCAGGGAAATGAGTGGGTGGTTTGCGTTTTTTTAATTACATCTAGGTAGTAATATCAGAGCTGTTACACTGATATGGGATTGTTACCTTGTTTTTCCTATGAATTGTAAAATGGGGGAAAAAATGCTATGTACAGGTGATGTATTAAACACATTTTTCTCCCTACAATTATAGAGCTGGGTAAAATTGCGCATTTGTATTTCTGTTTAAATTTCCTGAGATGGGACTAGCAAAATTGAGGCTCAAGGTAATAGAGCAATTGCAGTCCAACTGTACCAGTATTTTGCTAGCTGTAAATACAGGTAAATGCCTTGTGGGGTTTCCATTAGTCCTTGAAAATCAGTATCCAAAGAAAGAGCGGTCCTGCTGCCCMAGTGGAAACATTTTTTTTGTTTCTTTTCTCTTTGATCTTGAAACTTAAAATCCAGTTTTGGATGATGATTCACAAACTGCATAGAGGTGACTCCGTAAAACAGGGCTGTATACTCCTTTGCAGAATAATATCTTTTTTTCCTATCCCTGCCAAGAACGGCAGTGCMTTTTTTTCCCAGTAAAATCCGAACCAAAACCCACAAGTTTTCCCCATCTGCAGTAGTTGGGAAGGATGAGGAGAGACAAATAGGAGTGATAGGTGACAAGCTCCWAAAAGTTGTGTAACTAATATATTAGTAACATGGGTTACTAATTTGCCAACATGTTTTTATTTTATTGTCTCTAACTACCCAACTACTTAGTGTTTTAAAGATCTGATTTTGAAAGAAATCTAAGTAGAGACSCAGAAGTTGTAAGTATGTAAATCTGTCCTTGGTCCTGCACTGTGCCATGTTTTAACAGTCTTGTGCTAATACTTATGTCCTTCTGGCTCCCTAGRACCTTACACAAATTTCCTTAAAGACCTTTGATAGAGAAGTTGTGAATCTTTGCCAGTGGGACATTGTCTTGTGCATATGAAATATTTTCTGAGGGGGGGAAAAAAATGCATCTTCTTTACTCAGTTTACCATATTTGGGGTATATTTGTACCTGAATGATATTATGAAAGTCTGCAGGAGTAGAGCCAGTCAACCCTTACAGGTGTCCAAGTTGTTTCTAAATTGCTTGGCAAATGTAAGCGGTAGCTTATTGCGTTTATCTCTGACTTGACCTTTCAATTCAAATATTAACAAAACCAAGGTTAAAATGTGTGACATTTTCGAGGTATCCTTCAATAAGCAGACAATGCTCAGAAGATACAATTTTATTCTCAAGGAAAGCACAAAGGGGTAATTTGGAGATGTTAAAACCCAATTTTTGCGTTAGCAYGTAGAGCCTAGCGGATTCAGGCTGCAAAATACGGCCTTGGGACGCGTAGGTCGACTCGAAATTGTTCACACGAGCTGCATTTGAGATGTCCTCCAAGAAGCTCTTTAATCCAGATGTAGCAGAGCGTTAAATACAGTTTGGTCTACAGCGGACCTGGGTAGCGCTCGGTGGAAGCTTTAACCCTTCTGTAACCACGATRCAGACCTTGGCTGGGAGTAACATCAGTGCATTCTCCCTTGCAGCCGCCRACCTCCATCCAGTCCATCGTGGTGCAAGTGCAGTGCGTGAACAAGAAGGTGGGCACYGTCATCAACCACGAGGTGCGCGTCGTGGTGAGGGACAGGAACGACAACTCGCCCCGCTTCCAGCGGCAGCAGTACTACGTGGCAGTGAACGAGGTGAGCGCCTCTGCAACCAACTCAGTGCCAGGGGCCGCCTTTCCTGCACTTTGCATTTAAAAACCCTGCATATATGGAGGTTTTAAGCTCCCTTCCATTSATGTTGCCTTGGAGAAACACAGTGCAGCATTGGTGTGTTGCTCTTTTTCTAAAGGTCATTGGGTTAAGTCTTTTGATTTTTCCTTTTACGGTTGGAGGGGCCAGCACGACTCAGCAGGGGAGGCTGTGGGCTGGACTTCCTATTAGTTGACCAGAAAAAAAAAACCCTGAACCTGCTGCCACTTAGAGAGAAATCCAAAAGACGATGAGGCAAAAAAAATACAGCATTTAAAATAATTTATGGAGTGAATTTTAGCCAAATGCTTAAAGCATTTGCGGGGGTCTGCTCGCGTTGCTGCTGGGCAGCGATGCAGTGTTGCTGTTCCTCCCACCAGCTGCAGCCCTGATCTAATTAGCTCCTTGGTTTCGTGTTATCCCTGCTCCGCTGCCGGCTCCCGTCAGGGCCCCCCTGTGCCCTTGGACAGCTTAATGTGCTCATTAATTAAYCAAGGAGCGACGGGGAACGAAGTTCATAAAGGATCTCAGCCTTCCTTTGGAAGGTTGCGCTGAGTGATTACATGTTTTTTAATGATAGCTTATTCTGCTCCTAATTGGCCATGCCTCCAGCCCTTTTAATGGGAGGGATGCACTGGAGCGAGTTTGTATTTTTTGGTTGCCTCGCGTCTTTGGTTTTAGGTTTGTTGTAAGCTGTATAGCACCCAAACTTGTGCTGTCTCCGTGATACAAAAGAAGCACTTCCCTGCGTACAGCTACAGCACGTCACAAACTCCTCCTGTGTTTCTAGCCAGGAGCTTTGTCCCGTGCTCCTTGTGGGGACTCATCACCTGCTGCAGTGTCTGGCCGGGCTCTGCTGCACAGAGTCCCCTGCCAGTGTCCCTGGCCGCCCTACGCATGAGCGCCGGGCACGCGGGCGCTGCCCTCGTAATCCCCTTAGGGCCCCCGCGCTGGAGCGCGGCCTGATCCGCCCGCGGCTCCGCTGGCCCTGCAGCCCGCGCGTGCTCGGCCACGTGCGCGTCGGGTGCCCGTCAGCGCGGGCAGCGTCGCCGCAGAGGGACCTTGTCTTACGGGACACCTCTTCAGTATCAGGTGCGTCGAGGAGGGTGTTGCCGTTCAGAGAAGTAGACCTCGCTGTAAGGTCACTCTAGAGCTGGACTGGCCACAACACCTTACAGCTAGTTTGTAGGCAAGCAGAGGATAACGGTAACAGCGACGGAGATCTCCGTTTCGCTAATCTCTCTGTGGCATTTGCATTAAAATATAGATTGAGAATGAGTGCGTGTTTTCTTGGAAATGCTACATGATCTTGCGGGGCTCAGTGGTGACTGTCGTGGTTCACAGAGGTCCATTGTAGATGCTCAAGGAAGGCATAAGGACCAGGCGACATGAAGCATTGGATGCTTCGCATCCAATATCCCAGATCCTTGGGGAAAAAAATCAAATAACAGCTGGAGAAGGGATTTGGATCTGTTTGCCTGCTACCAAATCATCCTTAAAGAACTTTCTTTTCCTCTTTAGAGGCTTGCATGTATGCAGGACTCTGCAAGAGATGACAAGAGTTTATATATATATATATATATATATACACACACACACACACACACACACATATATACATATATATATATATATATAGGGAGGTTAATGTTCCTTTCCAGGGCATGGTTGGTTTGAAAACGGCTCTTGCAGCTCTTTGAAAAGTGGTCATTACGTGTGCATTGAGGACATTGTGTTTTCAGGAGACTCTTAAGTGTTCTTCTCAAAGTTAAAGCTTTTCATATATAGTTATATATATACACACAGCTTTTCATACATAGCGGCAGTACAATTGCTCTTCTGATGTACTCGTTCAAGTGGACAGACCTTGCTGGGCTTGGATGAGCCCGGTGTGGCACTGCTGGCATGGTGATTAAACTACAATTAAAAACATGTTGTCTGTTCAGCTTCTTAGTTTAAAGTAGATCTTCTGTCCCCCTATGAATTAATTACACCTGTATTTTGAGCAAAGTAGGTGAGCATTTACAAATGAACTGGTTAGCATTAGTTAAAGTTAAAATTAATTGGCATTTTGTGCGTAAGTTATATATGGGAAAACGAGGGTGTAATTAAGCTATTGGCTATTTGTAATTGCCTGGGCTCGAAGACAGGCTTGGGAAATAACTCTTCAGTAGTGCAGCTTGGACATGTCAAGGAAGGGAGCTAATCATCCCTYTTAGGCTGCAATTGCTATAGGAAAAACAGTGCAAAGGCTTTGAGAGAGCCAAGAGTGGCTGTTTCATTTGTGTTTCAGATGCCTTGGTGCCCTGCTGTAYGGAGACGCTTTTGGCTCCCTCCTAGGAGGAAAGCTAGTATTGAAGGCTGATGCTAAACATTTTCTGTTGTTACAGAATAGTGTGCAGGGCTGTTTGCTTTGGGCCTCGTTTTGTATACTTTTGTTTATATCAAAAGAGCACAAAAAACATTCAACTAGGTAGGTTCCCTCCCTGCAGCGGTGTTTGCTTGGCGTCAGGCCTGAGCACTGATGCCACTGACTTAAAGACCAGAGATTCTGCAGCCCATCAAGGGTGAGAAATAAAGATCTTGTACTGATACGCAGCGGTAATGGCTGTAAGACCCACTGATGGTTGCTTGGGTGTTTTAATCAAGCCTAATTTCCAWTAACAACCCTCGTTTCTTATAAATGCAGCTCTTAAGTTTGCATTCGTTAGGTGTTATATGCCTTATTTTTCCATATTAATTTCTCTCACAGGCCTTGCCTGAATATTACAAATATTTTCATGAAGTTTATTATCCTTTTGTGACAACTTTTATTTGCGAATATTCAAAGAGTTACTAGAATACCATTTGAAGTCAGTGTTATGTGATTAAATAGGCACAGCTTTATAGCTATAAATTTTTCCCTTACAAAACACAGTTGTAGGGTTAATTTCTCTTAGGTCGGGTGGTGGTTTTGAGGTGGGGGGAGGTTGGTTTGGTTTTTTTCCAACTTAGTTGTCTTCAAACATTGTGCTGCTGCATTGTGCTGCTGAGAATTGCAACCTGTGCTGAATTTTTATTGCTTCTGGTGTAGTTAGTCGTATCTATTTCCTTACAGTGTAGRAATAATGAATCTTTGCCTTTGCAGGTAGACATCATCAAAAATATATTAGCTCGGAGTGATTAACGGTAAAATCTTACTTTGCTGTTTAGGTGCAAAATTATTCATTTTCAACTTTGTAAATAGGCAATAACAGGAACATTTCCTCTCCAAAATGTTTTATGGGAGTGTTGAGCAGGCCTGCATGTATATCTAGATTTCCAACAGATATAAATCACGGTGCAGACAGTTCTTAAGCATTAAAAGCTGTTAACTGTGGAAGAGCGAGATTTATTGTGGATCTTTCGTCTCCAATTCTTTAATTTTGGTCTTTGGAAGCCTGTGTCTCTTCACGCTGTTCCCCTAAACTCTGAGTTAATGCATTTTCAAAGTGTAATTTCACAAGTATTCGCTTGCTGACAAGAGAACAGTGAGAAAACAACACTTTTCCGGTCTATATTTAAAGTTTTGAAACCCTCTGTGCGTCCATGCTTGTGCGTAGTACTATTTATCTGGCTGCATTCACATTCCCATGAAGACACTGCCGAAGAAATTCCATTTACTGGCTGCCAGCCTTGCCTCGGAGACCAGTGCTAGGGAAAGGCTGGTGGTTTTTGCTTTGCAAAGGCTTCTTTTTGCAGCTCTCGCCTACCCAGCTGGTTGTAAAGGCTGTGTCGTGTTGCCCTGTCCTTGCAGCTGACGCCCGTGGGTACAACCATCTTCACGGGGTTCTCCGGCAGCAGCGGTGCCATCGACATCGACGACGGGCCCAACGGCCAGATCGAGTACGTCATCCAGTACAACCCCGACGACAAGGCAAGTGCGGCAGCGAGTGCTGGGCACGCCTGGGTTTGCTCTCTGAGCTTCGTAGCTCCTAAGGTAGCAAGGAAGAGGGGAGGGAGGCAAGGCTGGCTGCAGGAGCCACGGACCTGAGCTGCCCTTTGGCTGAAGGAAGAGGACTTCTCTGCCCAGGTCGCTGCTGCTGCTGCAGGGCGGCAATACGGACAAGATCAGCATGGTTAAATAGATGTTGGTTTGGGAGCCCATGGCACTTCGTGGGTTCAGCTGTGTTCAGTCTCTCCTTAACTTCTGCAGGCTTCCAACAGGACCTTTGACATTCCGCTCACTTTGTCCGGAGCCGTGGTTTTACGGGAGAGGCTCAATTACGAAGAAAAGACTCGTTACCTTGTGATTGTTCAAGCAAACGTAAGTATGGATCCAAGAGCAGCCATTTACAGCACTGACTCCTTCCAGGTTTGGTTGTTGAGACTTTCCTGAGGGAAAGAAAAGTCTTGCTTGGGTCGCAGGTCTGATAAACACTTCTGAAGTTGCCACCATCAAAATCTTAGTTAAAATCTCCCTTGGTGCTTAACGCTCTTTGAAAGCTTTGACATATAAATACAGGGAGGAAAAAAAAAAGTTTTCCCAGGGTGTGCAACAAGATGATGTTTTCAGTACAAGAAATGAGTTGTTTGTTTCCAATATAGGCCACATGGAAAAGTGCATTTTAATGTCACTAAGCGTTCCTCTTCAAATACATCCAGCACCACTAATGAGATCTCAGATGAGTTTAATGGACGCTATTTAGTTGTGTCCTTCAAGTTGGAACTCAGTTTTCTGTAACAAGGTGATTTTTCTTTCAAGTCCTACTGGAGGTGCCTTTAAAGGTTTTTACAGAGCAGTGGGTAATGCATGGCAGGGATAAAAGCAAACATTTAAACCACAGCTAATATATCTGTCATCAGAGAAGCCTTTGGTGCCCTTGAGAGCAGAAGTTTTTTTTTTTTTTTTTTCCTGCCTTGGTGCTTCTCATAATAACGGAGACTCGGCCACTCACACTCCTCAGCCTGGCTCGAGAGCTCTCCCCACGCTCACTGATGCTGCATTTTACAGAGCCTCTCCAGCTGCCCATCATCCTCACCCTTGGATGTATTTGCTGTGCAGCGGTGCTTCCACCGCATGCGTTAGCAGCGACMGCTTCTTGCTCTTGCATCCTGAGGACACTACCTGGAATTCAGCGTCCTCGACATGCCTTGATCTGCGAGCCGATGAGCCGGCGGTGCCGCCTGCCCTGCCCCTCCTTAGAGCTCGCCTGCTTCTCTTAGCAGTAACCACGAAGAAAGGCAAATTCGGCAATTCCCAGAGTGAGGGAAAAAAGCCCAATGCCTTAATAAAAATAAACTTGAAGAGCTTAGAAGAAGCAACAACTGCTGTCAGTGTTTTTTTTTTTTTTTTTTTTTTCCCCATCTGGTCTAAATGCTTCTTAAGTTGAGTGCAAAGAGTTGGATTCCTCTCCATTGCCTCTCCTAAAAAATCACTCTGTATTTTTTTATTTATGGAGTGCTGTGATATGTCTGCTGTGATGCTGTGGTCCCCAGCATCATGGTGCCCTGACCAGGTGCCAGCAGAGGCACCTTCATGAGGTAGCATGGAGCTCTACTTCCAGCTATAAACAGGGGGCTCTTCCTGTGGTGCACATGAGCTGCATCTGAGATTTGACCTGTGTCTTCATTGGATGCATTTCCTCAAAATGGATTTCTTGAGCATACTAGTTGTAAGCAATAGGCRCTTGATAGTAATTCTTAATTGAAGTAAATTCTTAATAAAAGTAATTCTCACTCTTTTTGTATGTTTGGAGCTTTTGTTGACTTAAAGGCTGTAGCTGACATGCGGAAGTTTGTGTACTGAATTATTTCCCTGCATTTTTGTGCTTGTTGCCTCTGTGTTTTGCACTTAACGTTAACTTCACGGTTGATTTGTAGCCCCTGAGTTGCTGCATCAMGTGACCTGTTGTTCCCACAGGACCGAGCGCAGAACCTCAACGAGCGAAGGACAAGCACAACCACGCTCACAGTGGATGTGCTYGATGGCGACGACCTGGGGCCCATGTTTCTCCCTTGTGTCTTGGTGAACAACACGCGGGACTGCAGGCCCCTCACCTACCAGGCGAGCCTGCCAGAACTGACCGATCCTGTAAGTCGTCCCCATTTTTCCTTCATTTGTATCTGGCTACGACTAGCACGGTCACACAGGCTTTCTCCAAGGCTTTAGGGGCTGAATAGAACAAACCATGGGAAAATATATAGATGGTGAAGTTCTAGCTGTGGTGCAATGATAAACAACAAGGAGCGTTTCAGTCTGGAGAAGAGGAGGCTCGGGGGAGACCTTGCCACTTTCCACAGCTACCTGGAAGGAGGTTCTAGTGAGGCAGGGGTCRATCTGTCCTCCAGAATATAATGCAAGAGGAAGTGGCCTTGAATTGTGCCAGGGGAGGTTCAGGTTAGGCATTAGGAGGAAATCCTTCATGGAAAGAGCGGTGAGTGAAGGAACAGGCTGCCCAGGGAATTGGTGGAGTCGCCATCCCTGGCAGTGTTCAAGAAACGTGCAGGTGAGGCACTAAGRAACACAGTCTAGTAGATACGATGGTGATGGGCTTATGGTGTGGCCCAGTGATCTTGAAGGTCTTTCCCAACCATAAGGATTCTGAGATAGTTCTCAGTTACTCTCTTCAGCATTGCTACCCACCTTAGGAGAACAGTTCCTGGGGCTAAGCTAGCTTTTTGTCTTGGGAGAAGATCAGTTCTGATCTATGTGGCTTTGGTCACGAGGCAATAGCCAAGTCACACTTAACTGCGTGTATATGCTAGTACTACATGTGCCCGTTAATACCTCAGCAACGGGCTCATTTTGTGCCCATGGCAAAAGGAGGAGGCAAAAACGTTGCCCTTTTTGAGGCTTTGAGTCATGGCTTTTTTTCATGAGAGAAGATGCTTGTTCCCCCATCGTCCCCAGGGATGATGCTCAGTGAAGCTATGCCCTCAGGGAGCTTGTTTTATGTGAATTTATTGATCCGTCAGCATTGACTCATCAACATGACCGGCAACTAGATGCTGAGCCGCAAAGCGGTGCCATTGTCTCCACAAGCCTCCATCCGTT